TTTCAAATGGTAAAGGTGGATCCTTTTATGACACATTGTAGGAACTAAGATGATTGAGGCCAGATGTAACTCGATGAAGGGCATGAAAAGTACATGGTGTCCACAATTCAAAGAAATGCCTGAAGCGACAGCAACGGAGAAAAACATTTTGTAACCATGAATTTGTTTCTGATCCTTCTATGATTAATCAGTAACATGATTTCTTTCTCCATGAAGTTTCTACCAATTATAAGAAAAACCGGACTATATAATAGGTTGAGTCCACACGACAAGGACTCTACACGAATCTAAGTCTTGACGACTGGAAGAGAAGTACACAGAATTCATGACAAACCTGAAAGTTTCTTACCTCACCAGTGCGTACATTAATGAACGCGTCGATACGTGAAAAACCTTCTAATCCCAAAGTATTTGCTGCTAATTCGATTCTCTGTTTACATCTTTGCAGGACCTCATTACTGATGACAAAAAAAGGAATCATAATGTTTCCAAGATAATCTAGGAGTATTAAAAGGAAACAGGATTGGGTAATGGTTAAAAAAACATCAAATAGCTCTCGACAGACCAGCAAGCTAATTAGCCAAATGTATTAAAGAAGAAGAAGAAGAAGAAAAGGCAAGAAACTGAAAGCCCCTTCTGAAGTGCTATTTGCCAGAAAATAAATGGTTAAGCACACAAATGGGTGGTAGGCAGTCTTTCATAACATTTGTGAACATGAATCACCACAGGGATGTCAAGAAAATATTGTGAATTATCATGCATCAGGAAATTCTTGATTAAAAAAAAAACAACGCATGATCAAGATAGAGACTTCCTGTCTGTCTTGCATGCATGAAAGTATGAAGCATGCTGCAGTATTTACCGTATATCATCCAATTAAAGAGGTGGAACAGGGTTCACATTCAAAGTTCTAAGCCATACAGGGTTAAGAATCAAGCTCATAAATAGTATATCTTGGTATTCCAAATTGCCTCTTTAGCAATTAAACTTGCAGACGAAGCTAACTATTTCCCACAAAAATGTTACATTGTTACTTACTGTTCAAAGTGTTGGGTTTTGAAAGCTTTTAATTAACCTTTGGACATTCAATTTTTTGCTATAATCACCCAAATACAGCCCACTAAGGTTCAAGGGTCCAAGGAATAAAAGATCTTGAAGCAAACCTGACAATAGTTGTGGGAGGTGGTGTCAGATTAATCCCAGTACCACCTGCAAATTATAAATTTGATTTAGCGAAATATTACATATTATAGTTCTCGTCATGACAATAGGTAAAAGATGATGTAGAGCATAAAACAGATCATGCACTTGCAAACCCAAGCCAAGTAAAAACGGACCTTGAAATTTCTCTTCAAGGGATAAAATGTCTCCACTCTCCTTGACAGTAATACTAGGAGTTAGAGACTGCATTTCTCCACGTTTACCCACAACACCAACTGTTACTTCAATCCACTCATTATCTCCTTTCCACATAAGCCGATCACAATCATTGACTGGTTTTGCTGAAAAATTTATTTCATCGGTCTCTATAAAAGGCTCGAAGATCAATGATTTTGGAGGAGGATTTGGCATTTCAATGACCCCATGTGCCTGACAAAATCAAATAACTAGAGACTAAATTTGATAGGTTTAAGAAAAAAAAATTATTATTACCTTAAAAAAATAATGGATGTAATAGTTAGAAGTAAGCACACAAATTTCAAAGAAAACTTTTTTACTTAAACATAGGGCTATTTAATTAATAGATTAATTTACAACTCAAGAAAATACAATTTATCATGGCCAATGTTACCCTCTGTTTTCAGGCTGTTATTCCCCAGACATGGACTAAACCATTGAATATATTCAGAATAGAAACCCATAATTTACTGACAGATTACATCATTTTATCTCTCGTTACCTTGTAGACATGGTGTTGATACAGATCGAGATATGATATGTAGATGCAAACATTTCATAGATACACTATTTCAAAATTTTCTTGGCATAAGCTTAATTATATGTGGCATTATACTATTGAACTTATCCTCATATTTGCTACTCAAATTACGATGACCGTCCAAATAAGGCAATTTCCCTAGAAAGATATGTTACATTATCAACCTAAAAATAATATTGAGACGCTGACAGTTTCATCTCCTCAGTCAACTGCTAAGAATGTATCCAGTTTTTATTGCTCTACTGCAGGCAATGCTACCAAACACCCTTCAATCTTCAGGAACACAATATGATGGCTCTCTTGTTATTCTCTTCATGATGATATCTATGATTTCAAAAGTTTACCATCAGCTCTGAGGTTCTTAAAGTTTCCTCCACCATACGGACATCTGTATGCAAAACGTGATAACCACAATTTCTGTGGTCCTTCTGTGTTACTAATTGCAGTATTAATGTTTTGCACAAAGAACTTTTACATTTTCCTAAATCGAAGAAAAAGGAGGAAAACCACCCATTGGTCATAGAGAAGGAACAAACGTTAAAGTTTTTTGAACTTTAGAATCTTACGCATATGCTAAGAGCCGTCGCAGTGGAAGGCCCACTTGAAAGTTTAATAACGAGTAATGAGAAATGTAAATAACTCCTACCTTTGACAAGCTATTAGCAGGAAGGCGCGGAAGATAATCCCTTAATGCATCTACATAGACTTTAAGATCCTTATCAGAACTGAGAAAATAGTACAACAAGAAAAACTAGATTAGAAATTTTGCAGACTAGTTGAATATTCCAGCTAAAAAATAGAAGACAAGAAGAGTCAACACACATACCACAATCTTGCAACTCCAGTTGAACATCCATCACGAGCTGGTTTAACACATACAGTTCCAGACTGAAGCTTTGTACTCAAGTCATGCCACATATCAGATATAGGCGAATTCAGCAGCTCTTCTCTACTCTTTACATCCTTGGGTATAGTCAAAAGTCCAAAGCTTGCAAGCTGCATTTCAATAAGGAATATAAGATTGTTTCAGACCAAAATAGGGTTGACAAAGCGCCCACTGACTTCTAATACCCGAGTAAAGCTACACCCATACCCACAAAAAGTCAAAAACATACATACCCAACAGCTCATATGACACAAACCTCAATACCTTCCAGATTAAGAAATAAAACCATAGTATGAGAAACTTCCACAATGTGCAACAAGACTTGTTCTTTTTAAAGCTGAGGGAACAGGCATGCTAATAGCATTTATTTGCACCATAATATTTGAAACATATTAAGGTGCAAATAAACATCACTAAGAAGTGAAAATTCTAACAGTCATTCTTATTCCCGTACAACAACAAAGAGATGGTGGGCAGATGGTCTCTGTTAGCCACAAAAGTTAAACTAAAATAATGCATCTTTCCTGGTAAAATGCGGATGTTACTATTTAATTATCATTCTTTTACCAAATTTGAGGGAAAACTCTCGATACCATGAATTTTCCTTATTATGTGTTGTTATGTGTCTTCCCATGACATTATGCGTGTTAAAATTTAACTTCTTCACTTTTCGTATCCTGGAATCCAAGATATACCCCATAGTCCATGAGAAAAAAAATTAGAAGAAAGAGAAGAGAGCAGCTCATCTGAAATAGGTTCAGCCGATATTTTAATCCTATATTGGCAAGTAAGTTATTTATTTGGTTTTCAGAATATAGGTCTGTAACAGATATCTTATTTATCTTAGGCCCCTCCCCATAAATGTGGGGTTCAGTTATTAGGAATCTACCTGATACAATCATCATCAATAGCTCCCACTCATCCATGGTTGAGGGGAGTTTAAAATTGTTGCCATTCTTTATCTCTCCTCTTAACACATTATTCACGCTTCTCTATTTAACTTATGCATATTGGGATCCAATTAGACATCTATATGAACTTGAAAACCCATCTTTCACGTTTCTAACTGACTTAATCTTGTTTACTGAAAAAATTGCATAAAGATTTAACTTTCTATGGTAGTTTTAATAGCTGTTATTTGTTTTCACTTTGTAAAATCAAATACTGATATTGAAGGCAAGGTAAAGAGATGGGCTAGCAACAGGACAGAATTAGCTGATTAGGATATATGTGAGAGAATGAGGGACAGAAAAAGAGCGACTTTGGAAGAGTGAGGAAGAAGAATAACAGGGTTGGGCTTAATAAACAAGGAAAGGGACATTGTTTTAAAAATCATGTCAGGAAAATAATAACGTGCAGGAGCAGATTACTGCCTACACGCCCTGCAGTTAACTATGGGTCCATTCACAAGAAGTACTCTACGTTTGAAATTTGAACAGTGAAACATGAAATGTCCCATACATCATAGTATTTGAACAATTCAAACTGCTAAAATTACCGTACATGATTCAGAGCAAGCGATGTTGAAACTTTATCCATACAAAGTTTAGAAGCTTCGGGTCCAGGGCCTGCATAACATAAGATTCAAATAGAAGCCCTAAGTGAAAGATAAAAATGATTACTAAGGAAAATGGTCATCTCTTGAAGGTTAGACCTGTATACGGAACTCCTGCTGCCTCCAACAAGGTCTGAAGGGTTCCATCCTCGCCAATACCACCGTGCACTGTCAATTGTACTTTTGTGATGCTTACATATTATGAAATATAGAAAAGAAAATGTTATAAGTGTCCTTCACAAAACTGATTACTCGTCTTAAACATAAACGAGCTGCACTCTTTTGTCAGCAACACTGATCGCATAGTTAATACTGTTGACAATGACGTACTACTCTTCTAGAACTTTTGTAGATGCTAAAGTTTGCATTTATCTCAGTATTTAGAAATAAATGAAAGAAACCAGCAACCAGCAGATCTGCAAAGAAAACTTGTATGGTGATGGTAAAAGACAGTGAACTGAAAGGTTATATCAGGTACTTCACCAACTACGAAAACATGGAAACTTTCCACCAACAGTAATAGACTTTATGATGAAAATTATTATATGTACAAGTGCAATCCTTTGTCCTTGAAAGCCATTATTATTCTATACATATCTGGTGCCTCCTGGATTCATATCTAATTTAATGCTCAAAACTACTTAAAGAGATAAGATAAGTAATGGGTAAAAAGACCAATACAATTGCTAGAGTTTGAGAGAGGAACCTGCAATGAAAACTATTGCTTGAGATTCCTTAGCATGGTCGATCCATTGCTCCAGTGAAAATTTCTTCGGTGGTCCGTCAACGATATCGAAACCAGTAAACCAACTATGTTTTCTTAGAGCTTCTGCAAGTTCAGCCATCACACAACCTCGTAAATGGGATGTTTGTGCAGCCCTAGCTGGTTCAATAGCCTCCAGGCATGCATCCAACACTTCCTCTGTAGTATGTCGTAGGACAAGAGAATAACTGTTGCACGCAACATACAAATGTAATTTAATTATGTGCAGAACTTAAAAATTAGGGATGCAAAAATTTTATCTGCCTTGGCAGTTTAAACATCAGATTCACTGTGTTTCACATTTCACATATACAGACGAAAAACGTTCCTGATGAAGTCATATTGTCTTAAAGAGCAGGAACCACATGCTAATAAATGGTCCCTGGATATTTTTCTCAAAATGGTAGAAAGGATATGTGAATACTTCAGATAGCTGCAGGCCAAAAAAAGTTTGGACAGCTAGTGCTGCATGGAAATTGGAGTTCAATACTTAATTTGAGCAGGAAGGACATAGTATTTCCTAAGAATACATTTACAAGATAAACAGCTACAAAATCAAGAATAAAATAAAAAAAGAAACAAAATCAAAAATAAAATAAAAAAAAGAAATACAAACTTACGGTAAAGACCAAACGTCTCTGGAATGAGAATCATGGTCTATATCCTGCTGCAGAGTAGACAAATATCCATTTGCAGGGGCAAGCAAACATGGAAGCACATCAATCTGAAGCCACAAAATTTGCAGAATTAATGTAGGCACACAGTCCACAAAGAATCCATGTGTATGCCGTGTATAAGCATAATCACTCAAATAACAAATGAATTATGAAAAAGAACAAAAACTATATCAGAAACACTCCATGATCATGCAGACTAAAGAAAAGTTAGAAGAGCCAAAACAAATATAAAAGCTGCACTTAACAAAATGAGATATATTAATCAACTATTATTCTTCTCTATTGAATACACACTTTTTATGTTTAATTACCAGTCTATTTCAAACATAAAACCAAAGGAAATAAAATAACCAGGGAAAAGGCTTATGATAATGTAAAACAACAGGAGAAGTAACATTGCTAAATAGCATAAATGGAGAGTAAACAATTGATTATCAGAAACCTAGGATATCAGCATGTTTCAGAGGCTTACATCTTCAAAAGCTTGCAAGTTTAGCCACACATTTGTGCCACTCATGAGAGACACTTGGCGTTCTGATGTGTCTCCTCCAAAAATAACAAACACCTTTTGAGGGCCATGACTTTTCGAGTTCATCTTAGCAGGATTTTTAGATGTTAATCTTCTAGGTAATGCATTCCATGCATTTCTGTGTTGATTGAGAGAAGGAAATCTCAGGCAAGCCCGTTGAATAACTGTACGAAGTATGTTAGAATGAGAAAATCCAACCTGCAGAAGAGAAACAAATAACCATCGCAGCTCATGAGATATGTTGTAAAGAAGTTATTTTGTTATGATAAATATTAAGTAAGATGTTCATAGTTAAACAGAGGGGTCATCTCATGCTTGATTTGAAATACAATTCAAGCCCAGAACCTGAAATCAACCAGATTAGCGCTGTGCTAAGTCAAAGCTCTAATGGAGCTTAACCAAGGGAAAATATTAATAGAGCCTATCCTTGACACTTGGAAAAGTTTCTTGTTGAACTGTTATACTATCATTCAATTTGGTTTCATCACGATACTTCCACATAGCATGCTCAATTTTTTATCACAATGAGTCAACATATCATACTCAATCTTGGTTCAACAGCTAAATGATTACCTCAAGTGTTTGATCCAGAGATGTGTATAAGTTGCTCATACCACTGTATCTGACTGACTGACATCCATGAATGAAATTACAAGTCATGCTCAAGGGAAGTTTCACCATTTCTCATGTCAAGCAAATAATATATTATGATACATCTAATCATTGTCAGCGGTCTTCATCACAGGATACTCTTGTCTCCAATACATGGATGTTAACCTGTGATACACCGACGCGGGAAATTGGTGTCGTACCCGTGTCGGGTACGTATCAGGTGCAGATCCACACCGAAACTGCAGGGACATGGAAGATGCCGCATGTGGGAGTTTCTAAGGACGGAAAAAGTTTCTTTGGCTAATCAGGTCTGTTTTTGGGACCCAATAACCCAAAACCGCTACTAATTTTATCTTTTATGGTAGCGATTCCTTCAAATCTCATTGTCATTCCTTCGTTCCCACATCAGAAGCCCTCAACTGAAGCAAACGAAACCCAACACCGCTGCTCGAAGACGATAATAGCAGCATCTCCACATTTGTTCGCCGGTCTTTCGAGGATAGCGAGATCTCCGGCGTACAAAGGTACGTAGCTTTTGTGAATTCTGACTCATTTAGGGCATTTTTGGGTTTTGGAATTCTTTTTTGGTTTTTTACAAATCCTTATAGGGTTTTTGAGTTCTTTCTCCTTTGTGTTTTATGAATAGTA